GCCCCACAAAATGAAAACTAATATAGTTTTTGTCGCTAGAAAAAAGGAAAGAAAAGTCAAGGAAAGTAACTTTTCTATAATTTTTGAATGTTTATTTTTAGGAAACTTATGGAACTCACCACATAAAAATTTCTTATAACAGTTGATTTTCCTGTAAAAATTTTTCTTGATAAATTGATAGGAAAGCGAGTCATAGGAAAGTTTCAACTAATTAATTTTTTGTACAACTCCTTTCTTTCTAATAAGCTTCTTCCATTCTAAACTTCTACCTAAGTTAGAATATCTTAGAATTTATCATTTAAAAAAACCGGCTTATAGCTAGACATTCTATGCTCCTTTTTATGTCTACATATCTGTGAAATAACTTGTACACACATACAACCTTATTATTAAAGAATGAGATTAATTTAGAAGTAAACAATTCTTCCAATATGCAAAATGTTATATCTACTACATGTTTTTCTATAAATATATAATGCAAAAAATGAAGAGATTTAATATTGAATATTTTATACTGATGAACACACTATCCAATTCTGTCAATGACTTTCCAACTAAACAAACAAAATAATTTGTATTCTCTTGCATCATTTTCTTGTTAACCAAACACATGTGAAAAAGTTAACTTTCTTTTTCCTCACCTCACGTCACTTTATTTTTCCCTGCAGTCAAACGAATTGAGCCAAAGAAAAAGAAAAAGAAAACGAAGAAGAATTACAGTGACAGCAGGCCCAAACAAAGCCCAGCAACACACAGTCGACATTTTGCGGGTGAAAAATTGTATAACGAATGTTTTCGTGATCGTCCTCAGGATTGCAGCTCTGCTCACCTCTCTAAGGTCTCTCTTTGGTACGCCTCCTTTTCCTTCACTGCCATTTCTCGCTTACTTGCTTTTCCTCACTGTCTTTCTTCACTAGACTGCATTTTTTGCTCTAGGAAAATTTTGGCGAATATTGAAGATTTATCGATCATTTGTTGCTGTTTTTTTTCCCAACAGCTGGGTAATGGGTTAGATAGGGTTTTACAGAACAGCGAATTTCAACAGCTGACCATCGTCAAAAAATAATACTTACTTTTAGTTCCGACGAAATGTAAACTATCTGTATGCGGAAAATTGCTGCTGATTTGTGTTAATTTTCTGCACGAAATATATTCGATGAAATGCCAATGCGAAAGTTTCGTACTTTAGTCCAACATTTTTTTCTGAACTTATATTTGAAGACCCATTTATGATTTTTAATTTTTTTTGGGAGGAAATAGTTCGTACTGTTTCAAATTGGAGTTTCGTCCAAAGTGTTCCAAGTGGACACTTGGACTCCATTAAGTGTATACGGATGCCGACTGCTATCCTCTCTGGATTCTTGATTACTTCTTTTTTTACCTGACGAATATCTTGGTTTTATTCAGGTGAAATTGTCATTATTACTGAGTTTTTTAAGCTAAAGCATGGTGGGTTGGCAGCGCCATTTGCAGTCCTTATTGCGTCAAGCTGGGAGGAGACTTGATCAGAGCCGCCTTTCTCCTTTATATTCATTTTATCATTCAAAGGCTGCCCCAGGACTTGGTAGTTCTATTTAGTTTCTTGTGGAAACCTGATACTGATAGATGCATTGACTTTGAGCATAAATAGTAGTACAAGGCTTTTTTTTGGCTGGCAATGCTGAAAAATTCCCCTTTTTTTTCCCAAAAAATGTAATGCATCTCCTCTCTGTTCCAAGACTAAGATGTTGGGTATCAGATTATCACAATATGTTGTAAAATTTACTGTCAGAGTAGTCTTTATATGTCTTTCAAATTGTATGACTGAGAGAAAAAGCTTTTAGCAGGTGAGGCGGCTCATAGAAACATACTGTGGAGTTCGCATTTTCATTGCGCAACAAGACCTTTATATCACTATGTCCAGCAATTGGTAACTGCTTTTTCTCCTTTGATGAAGAATGTGTCGGTGTTTGGATTGTAATCTGTCATCTAGTTGCTATTTTTTTAGTCAGGTCACTGAAGAATGAGAAACTAAAGACAAGCAAAATAAATTCATTAAAATATGTTTGGCAAGAAAGGATTATAAGATGAGACAACAACAATTATTAGAATTTTATTCCCCTTTATACGTAAAAGAAGAAAGTCTATTTCCTTATCTTGATCTGCAAGCTTTCTGCTGGCAGACAAGACTTCTCCTAAGCTGGTTGGGCAGAATTTCCTTCCATCATAATGTGTTTCGCTACAGTGTTGATCTACTTTGGATTGAAATTTTCATACTGACTGTGTTATATCTTTATGCTTCTTGGTGCTTAACCATTTAGTTGAGTGGCTTCAAATCTTCCATGCATTAATCGTTGATCTTTGAGATGTTGCAATCTTTTAACGTGGCAGGGATTTACCAGTACGAGAAAGCTACTTGCAGACTCTTCTAATGAAACTCCAATTTCATCTCCACTAACTCCAGCTTTAGCTTTGAGCGGTGGAAAGGCTGAACCTGAGAAACCAGTTTCTAAACCTTCAAAAGTACAAGCAGTTTTAAAGGGAATAAAACAGGTATGATAGGCACTGTATTTTAAGTGTGAGAAAGTTGGATGGTAGTAAGTTGGCCCGTCAAATGTGTTAACAATATGGGTTTACAGATTTTCTTTTACACATTTAGATAATAGTCTAAGTCTATGGTTGCTGCAACAAGTCCCTGAATGCTGTATTCTAACAAATCATTTGAACTCCCAATTCATTGAAATTCTATTTATTGGGGGTGGGGGGAAACGAAGGAGAACATGCAGTTGAGCTGGTAGATATTTGAACAATTCATCTGTTTATTCTATGTAATCTCCATTTTATCTGTTTGTTCTTTTTAGGATTGTTTTCTGTTACTTTCTCATTTTACTCTTGTTTTCCTTTATTCCAGACTTCTTGCTGACTCAAGTCAGAAGGCATTGTTCTTTGCGAGATATTTTTTTCCCTTTGTCTCTTTCTTTGAGAGAATTAGGATTTCTTGAGTACTTTCTGTAATATTAGTTTTGGTCCTCATAAGTAGTCATTCTAAGTAATCTGTTGGAAATTCTGGCTTTTTTCCACACAATAAATATGAGAAAAAGAACATCCTACTGTGTTCTCCTATAGCGTTGGAACAAAATGGTCATCGGTATTATTTGTTGCAACCTTAATGGGGCTTTGATTCCTTTTTGCTTCTCTAGATCTGATTTAAATATTGACTGCTCTTTTTCTAACATTGACGTAGTTACTGGTTTCAGAGTCCTAAGAAGGTGAACTTGGTTGCTGCATTAGTCCGTGGTATGCGTGTTGAAGATGCTTTATTGCAGCTACAAGTAACAGTTAAGAGAGCTTCTAAGACAGTCTATCAGGTGATTTAACTGTCAGCATTGTTTGGATGATTTGTAGCAAATAATTTTCCATGAAATTTCTGTGGTCTGTTCTCTGTTATGCCAGAGACAGGTTATGTTTCTGTTAGTGTTTGAGGTAGAGTGGTTGGAAGTCAGTTGCATCTATTCTGATTACATATTCTTTTGGCCCTATTATGTTGAGGGTGTCTTGCATCCGAAAATCCGATGCTTCACTTCTCTGGTAAGAACTCTGAAAGCTGCAAGGTCTAAATAAAAACATGCACTGGCAGTTCAAAGGGGTTCCTTTGTATTTGGAAACATTAATACTTCTTAAGAATACAATCGATGGTCCTTGAAAGATATGCCCATTACTTCTGGAAAAGTAACATATTGCTGTACCACTGCTGATATCACAGTGTTGCTTCCCAGGTCATTCATTCAGCACGGGCAAATGCAACTCATAATCATGGATTAGATCCGGATCGTCTACTTGTTGGTAACCTTTGGTCATAAATTGTCTCTGTGCAGTTCTTATGTGTACCCTTTTTTATTTGTGGTATCATACTTCCCTGCAGCTGAGGCATTTGTGGGAAAGGGATTCTATCGAAAAAGGGTATCCTACCATGCTAAAGGAAGATGCGGGTAAAAGTAAGACCAGAATGTAGACTGACGGTGGTTCTGAGAGAGATTACCCCGGAGGAGGAAGCTGAGATAGCCAAGTTGAGAGTTCACAATTTCCGCAAACTTACTAAACGAGAAAAAAGGCTCGTGCCTCATCAGCTTATTGAGACCACGCCCATATGGAGCCGCAAAAGCAAATCAAAAGACACTGCATCAGATGCGATGGCAGCTTGACCAGATTCCAGTTTTTCAATTTTGGTTGAAAGCTTAGGTGGTATATAGGAGACCCAAGCATAAGGAACGCCAATTATCGACTGCTTCCTTCTCCGCGTATTGACATCTAGAGTTGTAGTATTAATGCATTTTAGCTTCCAAAAAAAAGTGTTAGAACATGAATCTCGCTATTCTACATTGCAAGGCTTATTTGTTTTTGAATGTTTACTTGAAATGACTGGTTTGCAGCTTGAGTTAACTGGAACGGCGACAGACTTTTCTTCTGTTGCATTAGTTGCCCACTCGTGGTTAGGAACTGCAACCCATTGGAAGTGTCAGTTTCTTATATGGACGGTGGTTGCAACAACTTGCATGATGTGCTATTCGTGGAGAACTCAGACTTAGCTAAGAGCACCCTGCTCCTCTGGACGATGGGTGCAAATAAGCCAAATCGAGTCTTTAACTTAGAGTCGAGCTCAAAATATTAAGTTCGAATTTAAAAAATGAAAAAAATAGTTATTTTATTTTTAAAAAATAAAAAATAATTATTTTATTTTTGAAAAATAAATAAAATAATTATTTTTTAATAATAATAAAATATTAAAAATATATATATAATTTTAATATTAAAAATACACACATATATATATATATATAATATTAAGCTCGTGAGCTAATTACAAGTTGACAAGTTTAGTATTTTTGAATTTGAATTCGAGTTCGATTTGATTAGTTTATTAGTTTAAATTTGATATTAATCGAACTTGACTCAAACTGCTATTGGCTCACAAGTTGGATTCGTTTGCAACTCTACTCTGGACTGGTTATCGAGACTGAGAGTAGTAATCAACCAATATTCCATGAATAAATTTCTTGGCAACTAAACATTTACTCTGATCACCGCAAACATTATAACACCTTTAGTAGATTCAGGCGAGAGACGCAGCCAAATTAAAGCCCATGGAAACGGCTAACAAAATCCCTACGCCAAATCGCCTAGCATGAATAATAGGTGAAATGAACAGCTATTAAATCGAAAACGTATTTGCCAAGAGTAGCTATAACTCCCTATATTGATACAAGAAATGAGGTCAGGTGACAATACTCTATAAATCAGAACTTCTGTACCGTATGATCTCAACACCCAAGTAGTCTACCGGACCATGAACAGCAACATGTGGCTTTCCGACCTGCACACGAACTGCAGAAATCTGAGGATACTTGGACAGGGTTGTAGATGCAATGAGTTGAGCCACAGATTCCAAGAGATTTTTTGGTGGTCCTTCTACAACTTCTTTGACAATGCTGCCAATCAACCAGTTCAAATTATAAAGAAGCTGTAGCTTACTAACAAACTACTGACATTTATTTGTTTGACAAGTGGAAGAGAATTCTGATCTAGACATCATTGCCAACAGTGTGAATTGTAACTAAATCTCAGTAGACATAATGAATGGCAAAGCAAGGTTCAAAAGATAACTTATATTAAATGCTTCTTCGGCAGGTCGACCCAGAAGGAAAAATGGGTAGAAGCTAGAGGGCAGGTGCGTCAAAGATTTCACAGAATATCCTTTTCATCTAGATGTATCAACAAAATTCACACACTGCATCAACAACATAAATGCAGTTGATGCATTGCAACCACTGAATATCCTTTGAAGAAACTAGTTGTCATGAAATTTTCAGATCACAATATCGTCATCCATCTACTAAAGAAGCTTTTTGTAGAACCTCATAGGGGAAGACCATGTATGGATTAAGTTATTCCAGTAGGGTAGGGATTTAGACAAAGGTAGGTCTGATGTCTCGAGACAAATTTTGCTTTTAACTTGTTTAAAAAGCCATGGGCTTTAGATTAACCATTTTCGCTCTGCTATTCCAACATTATACAAGAGAGGAGCTCAAATATAGTATAGACATACTCCTTCCTAACTTAAGTGTCGAAATTCAATAAATCCTCCTGCCTTTTTCACTCTTTCTTTTTAATTAAGTAGCCCTGCTCTCTGACTTTCAAGGAACCGATGTCAGGCTGAACAACCTGAGCTTCAAATATAAGAAAAAGTGCAAGGTACAAGGGAGTCTGATGCTCTGTTTAGACAGCAAAGCATTCCAAATTAGACAAGTGATATTTCTCATTCTGAGTTATTCTTCAATTGTCAAAGAACAAGAAGCAGATCCTACCCATACTCGCTTTTGCAAGCAGTTTAGTTTGGCATTTATAATATCCTGCCAGGAAGATGTTTGAATCACGTGAACATGGTCACCCAACAATGGAGAAAAATATTGGTAGGCAAAAGATCTATGAAACACAGGCAACCAAAAGCAAAACAATCAAGTCCCAATTCTTAAATTCTGTTAAGATTTTTTGCCCCTCAAATGGGAGATAAATGAAGAAAATTGGGGTTTATGACTTACGCATATATGGCAGTATAACTTATAGTATCTGAGAGGTGATCAGAAGTACCAGCTGCTCGCAGATCAGTCCAGGCATCCACATCTATCAAGAACTTCTGGCCAAGCTTCCTTTCTTCTTGCTTCACCCCGTGATACCCGTGGAACTTTAAACCTCTGAGTACAAGCTTGTCTCCCATTATTAACACCTTATGATCTGTATCTGCAGCTGATTGGAATGCAAGGCAATGAAAAGCAATTAAGGTAGACTGTCTTGACGCCAACAAAATTAAATTAGATATGTATTCAAAGCCAATAACAACATAGAATTAGTATCAAGAATTAAAGCATTAATATTTGATTTTTTAAAAACCTTTTTGCACTGCATCAATGAGTCGAGAAATCATCAAATCAACCTTCAATCAGATAAGAAAAAAAACTAACATTTTCGGCCACACCCCTCTTGTCTATTCACAAATTTCTTTTGCTTCTTGCAGATAAAGGAACTACACAAAAAAAAAAAGTAAAAATATACCAATGTCCAAGGATAAATACCTCAGGGATGAAACAAGCAACCCAACCATCTTAAGAAAAATTATCAATAGATAAAAATATAAAATAGAAAAACCAAAAGCTTTTCGGCTGTAAACTTTCTTCAGCAAACACTGCAAAATTTAAAAGACAAAGAAAGAACGCCAAAAAAAAAAAAAAATAGCGAGTTACATGCACACGGAATTAGCATATATTAAGCAAAACCAGATAATCACTTACAAATGCTGGGTGATGACGTCATCAGTCAAGAAACCGACTGAGCTGCTCACGGCAGCGCCGCCTAGATTATCTACAGTTCAGAAGCCACTACCAATAGCTTTTGCCTGTTTTGTTATTCCTTCCACACTAATTCCACAAAGCCAGGGGAAAAGAAGAAAGGGTTCATAACATTTGGATCCCCATGGACCATCGGCGTAGTCACACTTTGCCCTGTGGAAAAAAAAATTATATATATATATATATAGACACACGCACGCACTTTGCTCTCCTATCCAAGTAAATGTTACAGTTACACCTTAAAAATGTGTGAAAATTTTCTTTCAACTTTGACCTCAGTATTATTCACACTTTGTTCTCCCATTAGTGTAAAAAAAAAAAAGGTACACTTTGCTTTAATAGTTAGCAACTCTATATATAATATATTGGACCAGTAGGAAAGTTATAATATAATTTTAATATTTTAAACAAACATATGTTATCCTAAAGCATTATTGATGAAAAGTATCATATATATAGTTCTTCAAAATAAGCTTTCTATAACAATTTTTTACAATATAATTTTTGTAAATTTTTCTCTAGATGGAATTAAAAACATTTATAGTTAAAAATGTAGTATAAATAATTTTGTATGCCATAATATATTTTGAAATATTTAAAATTAACTTTAAAATCTTTAACCTCAAAGAATAAAAAAAAATTAGTTATGTAAGAATTTAATAAATTTGACATTAAACAAAACACATTGACAAAACATTACGAACACAAAATTTAAAAGCACTTGTCAATATAAGTTTATAAAAAAAACAATTACGTACGTTTACTTAATTAATCTAAAAGATATAAATATTTTTTTAATTACAATATTTGTTTTAAGAGTAAGAAAGGGTGTACGTATTTGTTGATATCAAATTTATTAAATTTTTACATAACTCATTTTCTTTTTGAGGTTAAAGATTTTAAAGTTTATTTTACATATTTCAAAAAATATTATGGCAGATGAGATTATTTACAGTACATTTTTTACTATGAAATTTTTAATTATATCTTGAAGAAAACTTAAAAAATACATTGCAAGGAAATATTGACAATAAAATAATTATATAGAAAGTTTGTTTTAAAGAACTATATATATATGGCATTTTTCATCAATAATATTTAAGTGTAAAGTATGTTAGTTTTAAGTGTTATAATTATACTGTAACTTTCTCATCAGTTCAATATAATATATATATATATATATAGTTGCTAATTATTGAAACAAAGTGTACATTTTCTTAGTTGAAGGGGGCAAAGTAAGGGCAAAGTTGGAAGTAAAATTTTCACATACTTTGAGGGTCTAACATTTAATAGGATATAGGAGATAAAGTGTATACTCCCTCCGTCCCACTTTGATAGTCTTGTTTTCCTTTTTGGTCTGTCCCAAATTGTAGTCCACTTTCCCATTAAGAAATGAAATGATCTTTCAAATTGTCTACAATACCCTTATTAAATATTTTGTTATTAATACATTGTTATTAAATACTAACCCATTACATTGAATACATTGAGCTTTCCAATGCACTCTTCGTTATTAGCATAAGGGTATTTTAGGAAATTATTAATCTAAATTTATGTTTCCAACCAAATTAATTACACTTTTTAATCTGTGTGAAAAAAAATCAAGACTAAGTAAACGGACGGAGGGACTATATTTTTATTGAGGGTGACAAAATGAGACTATTACCATCGTTCATGAGCGCAAAGTGTTATTAACCCAAAAAAGAATTACACACCCAATTCCTATTTTATGTTATTATCACTTTATCCTCTTAACGTTTGGTGCCACTATCAATTTTCTCCTTAACGTAATCTTTTAGTCACTTTACCCCCAAAACTAACGGTCAAAATTAATGGAGTTGTTAATTAAAGTAAAAAGACATGTTTAACCCTTAAAATTATTATCACTTTACTCCCATAAACTATAGTCTCATTACCAATTTACCCCATAGAGTTATTTTTAGATAATTTATCCTACCATTAATCCAATTTAGTAAGTTAAAAAACTTTAGAAGAAAATACCCTCCTCTTTGGATAATAAAAATAATAAAAAAATGTAGAGTAACTCTTTTCTTTTTTAGTGTCAAGAAAAAAAGTCAAAATATTAATTTATTTTTTATTGGCAATCTTATTAATATAAAAAAAGAATAGAAAGATGACGGAAGGGAGGGGGAGAGAAAGAGAGCTCAATTCTTTTTTTTTTAAAAAATTACAAATAAGAAAGAATTAAATACTTTTATTATTTTAAAATTATTTCACTTCTCTGTTTACTACCAAATTTCAATCCTAATTCCGACAATCTTAATGTAATCCTAATTCACTTTCTTCTTCTTTTCTATCTCTTTTTCTTTTTCTAGTATTAATAAGTGCGAAAAAAATTTGAGAAAACTGTTTTATTTTTATGTTTTTCAATCTCTTAAAGTGAAAAAAAGAAGAATTACCATTCCAACTTTTTTATTTTTAATTATATATAAGAAGTGTAAATATACTTAAAATTTTTGACCATACTAGTTAGATTAACGATAAGGTAAAATATCTAGAAAATAATGTTAGAAACTAAAATGATTGTATCACTATAACCTAAACGAATAAATTGATAATAATAATATAGTAATGCTATAATATAAAGAATATTTTTATCCAAAAATTCTTAACAGTTGTTGATTGAATTACTTACGGGGATAAAGTGATTAAAAGACAACACGTTATTATAAGAGGAAGAACTCTTCTAGGGAAGTTGAGTTGCCTGGAGCGGACGCCCTAACTGATAACAGAAAGGTGAAAAAATTTTGAAAGCGAAAGAAAGTAAATGTGAAAAATGACAAAGATTTCCCCTATTTATGGAGAAATGGATACGCGAAACAACTGACTGATATAATACGTCTCATCATGAAAGCCGAAGCGTCGTGAGTAATCATGACGGTTGCATACATTTACTGCCGCCGATCAACTGTGTATCTCAGCAAATAAAGACTAGATTCACTTGGATAAGAATAAATCTGGTCCTAGGGGACTATTGTACAGGTTATGATGGCCAATTCGTCAAAGTGCTGAGAAAGGGTATGTCTGAACACCATTGGATTTCAAATACATGCATGTGGTTGCTTTCGAAATTAATTTTTAACTTAAAAAAAAAAAAAAAAACACCATTAGATTAGCTTAGTAATCATAGCGAAGTTCATAGAATTCTTCTTGAGCATAACAATTTGGGGCAGGAAAAGCGTGGAAAGAGAAGGTGGAGGAGATAAAGGATTAAAAACAAAATTTAATTTTCTTTAAATAACAAAACCTTAGTTTTTGAAAAATAACCCAAAAAAACAACTAATCCAAACGGACTTGTATTTCAAAAACGAAATGCTACAGAATTGTTTTTGAAAACAACCCAAAAAACAGCTAATCCAAACGGACCCCATAATTATGTAAAAGATTCCAATAATACGCTAAAAAAGGCATAACCCATTGAGTACAAGCCCATTTATTCCCTACGTTGGTGAAGTCACAATTAACAGGGCTAGAACTCCAGAGAGCTAGCTTTCAACTTCCAAGCTGGGAATAGGACAATAGAACCACCCAAAAAACAGGAGGAGCAGGAGGCATACATTTTGTACCACAGAGCACTAAGTAAACAAATTCCATGCAATAGAGGTAAGAGCATAAACTCCCAACACATCGAATTGTATGTGCAAGTTTGCATTATTGTTAAACTGCAGCTGCGGCTCCAAAAAGTAAAACCGATGAGCAAAACAGCAAGCAATTACATAAACAACCAAGGATGACAGCACATATAGGATGTTGTAGAATAGATAATTACAACACGGAGGGTTGGGTTGGGTTGGGTTGCGTTGGTTTGGGGGGTGGAAAGATTGCGAGTAGAAGGTACCACCTATGTAACAAGGCATCCCACTGATAAAAAATAATTACGCCATAAATGTTTCAGTAAACAGGCAAGCACGAAAACAAAAGAGGAATACTGAGCTCCATAAAGACAAGGATTCAAAAGTATAATCAATTTCGACAGGAATGTTAACACTACGTCGCTCCCTGACGATCTTCCCACCAGAAACAGGTTGAATGATGTACAGACATATTTCCGGAGGAATCACCTCTTAAACAAGTAAAAATTTTGTTGGCATATGTACAATGGTTACATTGCTGAGCTCCTCCAATTTGCCCCAAATGAACTTGGAAACCTAGAGGCTGGCACCAAACCTGAGGTAAGATGCTTGAATATGTCTCACTATCCAGTATTCCAACCATATAATTAATGGACATTATTATGTACAGTATCTCAAATTCTCCTGTAGAAGAGAACATAAGCAGATGATGTCTTTGTCTGCTCCTCGCTAATATGGAAAACATTGCTGTCATCAAATTCGTACCACCTATTTTGCCCATGCTGCATCAAGCAACAAAAATTCCAACTGGGATAATAAGTATTTTGGATATTCTTTCGACGAAAGGTTTGACCACTTGGGATATAAAAGTTTTTTTTTTTTAAGCAGAAATTCAAGTTAGAGAAGGTGAACATGTTTTAATGATCAAATGAGTTCAACTATAGGAAAATGCGCATAAAACTAAACTATGCCTCCTAGAAGCCAAAGGATTCCAACTCCAAAATATGAAGACACAACGACTGAATAAAAAATGAAAAAGAAATATTTAAGCAGAGAAAGCATCAAAAAGAACTGAACATAGATGAAAGAATGCAATTGTCAGCAAAAGGACAGAAAAATCAAGTAACAGTTCTTTATCAAAGTTCTCAACTATTTACTGACGATAACATCTGCCGTTTACTGAAGTTTTCAACAAATCCATTATTGTTCCACCCACAAGTCAATCTATTCTATCTGTTGATGTGAATAAAACACCTCTCTCTATAGGTTTCCTGATATGGACCCCAAGAAGGCTAACCTCTGAACCAGGGAAGAAGCATTATTTCTATGCATAACTTCAATATCAAAAGTAATAACTATACAATCTTATGATGGCTTTTATATTAGGAGTGTTATTAAACAAGCATTTAATGTTCTTGCTATGATGTACCAAATTAGAAAGTAAAGATCAACTTTTAACAGAGCCTTTAATCCAAACTAAACTCTCGTTCTTCTCAAAGAGTAAATGCATGCTATTATTATTAAGAGAAAAGGATCTAGTCCTTCCAAATAAAAGACAAATAAACTCAAGGGGGTCAAAATA